CATCCTCGGGAGTCAGAACGGGGCTCCCGCGGCAGCCCACCCCCCATGCCATGGCCAGGGAGGGGTCACATCGCCCCAGCCTCCCGCCCCAGCCCCGGCACATGTGTTTCCAATGTGGCTGGGAGCTCCAGGGAGTCGGCGTGCTCAGAAAGCAGCACCAAATTCCTTTCCGATCGAGTAATGGGCCCCAGCAGCCTTCGCGGGGCCGGGCAGGGGGAGGGGATGCTCGGACCCTCCAGGACCGGGCTGGAGCAGGGGAAATCCCAGACTAAACAGAGGGATCCCGGCCGGGCCTTAGCGTGGCATTCCCTCGTACCGGCCCAGGGCCAGGCTCTGGCACAGTGTCCTCCCAGTCAGCCCCCTGGCTCAGCCAGGCTGGGCCCTCCTCCCCGTGGGACTGCCCCCATCACCTTGCCCGATGCAGCCCCACCAGCATCACCCCTCATCCCGCACCCCGGCAGAGGGGATGCTGTTCCCGCGGGCGCTGAGCGCCAGGTATTCCGGTGACAATGGCATGGGGTGGCCGGGCACGATGGAGCGGCTGGGGACGATGAAGCGAAGTCAGCCCCGCGGATGGGGACGGTAGGGGATCACTGCCTGGCCGGGATCAGCGTTGGAGGTGTGTGTGGGGGAGCCGCCACCGGCACTCGCCTTCCCGGGAACCGATTCTGCTGCTCTCAGCAGCTTTGGCAGGGACGGCTCCTTTGCAGCGGATGCCGGGAAGCGAGATGTACCCAGGGCTGACAGCTGCCGCCTGGCCGGCAACACACACGGCGCTTGCCCACAGCGCCCCTGGGCTGACCGCGGGACTGCGGGGCCCTCCGGAGACCCCCGGGGTCTGGCGGGGACCTGGACCTGCCCAGGCCCGCACAGTCCTGTCCTGAGAGCAGGGACCTGGTCTGAGGTAGACGTCTGACCGGCTGGGCTGTGGGTGCAGCCCAGCTGGGAGGTGGGAGTCCCCGGATGGGTGGTGGGTGTATCCCGGAGGGGCGGCCGATGCCCCCGGCTGGATGGTGGGCGCACAGTAGCTCCCCTTCGTCCGCCCCCCACCAAAAGCATCACTCACAGCATGCACCCAGCGCTGTCCAGCGCCCCGGCTCTGCCCAGCGAGATGCGCCCCAGCGTGCCGGCAGCGTTCCCAGACAGCATGCCAGAGGCACCCTGGAGGGCAGGGAGGGGATCGCGGGGCAGATGGCCCCAGCCAGCCTCCCGGCGCCCGGCTGGGCTGGGAGATGCGGGTGGGCTGGCAGAGGGTGATGCTCCCTGCAGCGGGCCTGGATCCAGCCGGCCTCGACACCGGGTGCCCCGCGGGCAGCGAGAGGAGCCGGGGGTCCCAGCGGAGAGAGCCACTCCCCTCCCCGATTCAACAGCAACCCCAGCCCGGCGGGGCAACCCCGGGCCGACACACCACGACCCCCCAGGGATGTGGCAGCCCAGGAGCTTGGGGGAATCTGAGGGTAGCGGGAGCGGCATGAGATGCTCGGTGCCCCCGCGGCTTCAGGCCTCGATCCGCCGGGCAGCGGGGCCGCCGCTGCCGGGATCCCGGAGGAGCCGGTCAGGAGCAGGACCGGTCGGGAGCGGGGCCGGGCTGCGGGCGCCCCGATCCCCTCCCCATCCCCCGTTCCCCGGGCGCCCCTGCCCGCGGCTCCTGCTCCAGACAATGGCGAGGAACCGGTGCCGGGCCCAGCAGCGGGGAGCCCCACGGGGCCCTCCCCGCCGTGCGCGAATTCCCCCGCTCCCCGCTCTCGCTGCCCGGCTGGGGGTCGCACCGGGCCGTGCCGGGGAGTCCCGGCGCTCGCACGTGCCGGCCCGGCGCAGACAAAGCGGGGACCGCGCCCGGCCCGGTGCGGCGGGCAGGTGCGGGCACCGGGGGCGGCGAGCCGGGCACACCCCCCGCCGCCCCGCCCGCCTTTGTGTGCCGGGGCTCCCGGGGACGGCGGGGGGCGCAGCTCGGGGCGCGGCCGGTGTTACCGGGCGGCTCCGTGCACAAAGGGCGGCGGCGGCGGCGGGGACAAAGGGGCGGCGGCGGCGGCGGGCGCGCTCACCAGTCGGTGGGGCTGTCCTCGCCGATCACGTCCTGGTAGGAGGCGAGCAGCTCCAGGCGGTGCGCCGCGAAGCCGACGCCAGCCATGGCGGGGCCGGGATGCTGCCGGGGGACCGGAGGGACCGGCCGCCTGCCCGCCTCCGAGACACTGCCGCAGCGGCCGGGCGGAGGGGCGAGCGGCGGGGAGGCTCCGCCCGCCGCCGCGCCCGGTCCTAGCGCCGCGAACGGCGGCCCCCCTCCCCTCCCCTCCGCCCCCCCGCCAGGCCCCCG